CACACACACACACACACACACAAACACACGCACACACACACACACACACATACACTCACAAACGAGAGAGTGCTGTCATTTGATGCTATGCTATACTCAACCAAACCAACTTCTCATACGGGAACCCTGAGCTCGGAGTCTTGAGCAGGGGTTTTATACTTCAAGGGTGGTTCTGGGGAGCCGTTTTATTCTTAATGAAAACACGCGGTCAACAACTCAAGGAGTATCGGTTATCGTGTACCTCTTGTGAATACATAGGTTTTCTTAGCTTTTTATGGCTAGCTGGGAAGAAGGAAAGGCAACGTGGGGAGAAGGAAAGGCAACGGTGAAAGTTCTGACAAAGGACATAGCAATGGATCGCACACAATAAAAGCGATAGAACATGAACATGGCATGGAAGACATGCTTCCACTCTGAAAACATTTTTCCAATATCCCAGAGACAAAAGGGCAACCTTTGAGGAGTTTTGAAACGGCCTTCGGAAACGGTTGAATCCACGGAAGGGTTTTCCTGAAGGTAAATCTCCGAGGTGTTAGGCTTAACGCTGACGGTTTTCAGGAGGTTTAGTCCCCCAGAGTTTCACAAGGGTTTCAAATGCTGAGGGTTTTCGCAAGAGGTTTCAAAACGAGTCCCTGTAAAGGTTGAAATCTCTGAGCGTTTTCGTTAGGGCTTCAGGCGCTGAGAGTTTATGTAAGCGTTTAAACTCCTCATGATTTTCGCAAGGGTATAAACCCCTAAGAACCGTTCAAGAGGGGTCCACAAGAAGAGAAATAGGCCCAACTTCGGGGTTCGTATGCTAAATTACCGTCAATGCGGCTGTCTTACTTTCATACCAGTTTTTAAAGCGGCTTTCTGTATGGTTTGAGGGTTTTCTTGACGGTACTTGTCCTTGCAGGGTTTTGTGAGGGTTAAGACCCTGCCGACTTTCGTAAGGGTTTAAACCCCTAAGGACTTCTCTAAGGATTTAAAATCCCCAGAACCACTCGAGACAGGTCAAAGGATGAGAGGTGACCCCACTTGGGGATTTGTGTGCTAAAGCGGCCGACTTTGTTAGCCCACCCATTCATTTTACCCACCCATTCATTTTACCCACCCAATCTTGGCCCAACTCTCCGCAGCCTTGGAGTCAATAATCCCGATATATTTTCAAAACAACTCTGCAGACTCTACAAGCCGCTACCTCTTTGGCTCCTCTTGTTCGAGCAGTGCTTCATTCCTCTTCCCCATAAAAATTCTTAGTAGCGTGTTCCCCTTATGCACCTTGGAGACCCTCCCTACGAGACCACAATTCTAAGAAGGCGACATCCGTTTTCCCGTTCATGTAGGCACCCACAACTGAAGGCCTAAAAAATACTACTACCTCGATCAAGTCCGGACTGATTCTATCGAGTTCCCGAGACGAGGGACTGTGGAGCATAACCCCGTTGCCATCAGAAAGCAGGGAACACAAAAATGAATAAACCTGCATATTTTTGCAATTATAATCTGTCTGTTTTTCTCCAAGACAAATTCAACGTTTTAGAAGACGGTTTCCATCATCTTAGCAACTTCAATTTCTGCACGCCAGATCTCTGCTCTCATTTCTTACTTGGAATTTACAAATGAAAGAAAAGGAAGGAAAGCAAAATCACAACAACAACTCCCAAGAAAGCAAGCGTACATTGACTACTCACCTCGAGGAACGAACACTTGCACTGGAATCGCAGCTGCTCATGCCTCCGCTGATCTTCCTCCTGAACAACCACACCGCAGAGCAAGCATTACTTATAGTCTTATACATACGTGAGTCAAAGAACGAGACTGAGAAATCAATGTTTCAAGCCCATAAGAGGCACATTTTTTAATTAAAAAAAAAAAAAAAAAAAAAGTGGAATAAACGACAGCGCCATATGCACTTAGTTGATGAGGCCAAGCTTCTCTCCCAAACATGAAGTAAAGCTCCTCTTCATTGAAACGAAGGATACCCATGACCTGGGTACAGATTGAAAACCAGTGACATCACTCCCAGATCAAGGTAGTCGCATCTGATGGGAGAAACGGAGATTTATTTATTTTCTGTTTCGCAAAGCCAACTGATACCAACTAAGGAACTCAGACGGTAAACATCAAACATCCATGGTCTTTTTTCATATCAAGGGTATCAAACGCCTTCTCACTAGTTTCTAATTTTTGGAAGTTTTCTTCCTTTAAACTCCTCGAATAGATAGAATGAATTTAATTTCTAGATAGTCAGTAATAGTAATTAAATTCAATTAAAATGGGTAGCCTTTATAAAAAATCGTAGCCTAAATACCTGGGGATTTTCTAGAGGGAACTTTCTCGCAGCAAAGTGAAGACGCTCATACCTCTCGTATCCGGGAAAAGAGGTGCTCAAAAACACGGGGAGTGATCCCCCTCTGCTCCGACTTTCTGCGCAGAAGGTCATCTATGTCGCCAAGCATTGTGTAAGTCTTGCCGCTTCCGGTCTGCATAACATCACCACAACCGACATATAAACGTAGATAAATCAAAATGTGGCGACAAAAAAAGGGCGGCCAAGAAAAAACAAAGGGCAAAATAACGGAAGGAGAAAAAGAGAAATATAGAGGGGAACATGGAAGACAAATAGATAAAGCACAAGGACGCTGGCAAGAATGCACAGAATGGCAAATGGTTTTCGCATATCACAACATGCATGCAGGGATGTTTTATATTAATAAGCTAGCCTCTTACCTGTCCATACGCAAACATGCAGCTGTTGTATCCTTCCAAGCAGTTCTCCACCATCGGGTACCCAGCCACTCGAAACAGCTTATCCTGCACACCAGCAACCAATATCAATCAGTACATCTCTCTCTCTCTCTCTCTCTCTCTCTCTCTCTCTCTCTCTCTCTCTCTCTCTCTCTCTCTCTCTCTCTCTCNTCTCTCTCTCTCTCTCTCTCTCTCTCTCTCTCTCTCTCTCTCTCTCTCTCTCACGCACGCACACACACACACACACACACATTTACATATACACGCACCCACACACAAACAGAACCTCCTGACGAGCCGGTGAACAGCCGCCCGTTTTCGTGAAGTTGCATTTACCGAATACACAACACATTGAGGGTGGAACGCATATAGGACAGGAAGCTCTCAAGTACAGAAAAACAATGATAGTTCGCATCGAGGTACTGAACAGACCTGACTGATTTGTTCACCAGCAACATGGTCGAACGTGAACCGCTGCGGCTCCGGGTGCGTGAGGAAAACGAGCGAACGCGGGCTATCCTGCCTCAGACAACGGCGATCTCCGTTCACAGACGCTTCCCGCGAATTGATTGGCCGGATTCTCACAAGTACCTGCGCTCATCACAGAAAACACCGGCACATGAACTCAATTACTCAATCCTAGTCGATAGTGAAAAACTCGAGTAGACATTTAGATCAGACAAGTGTTAGTGACGGGGTAGGCAAACCTCAATTCCGCAAATGCTGTTATCACTCCTTAGAATGGAAATCTCCTCATAATGATGTTTCCATACAAAAAACAGTCCCATCGCCCTCAGGCTCACGCCATTCCCGCCTCACCCTTTCCCCCTCGCTTCCCCTTGCCAGTTTCCCCCGCTTGTCGCCCGCCGCCCCTATCACTCCTTAGAATGGGAGTCCCCTCATAATGATGTTTCCATACAAAAAACAGTCCCATCGCCCTCAGGCTCACGCCCTTCCCGCCTCACCCTTTCCCCCTCGCTTCCCCTTGCCAGTTTCCCCCGCTTGTCGCCCGCCGCCCTCCCCCCCTGCATCCTGCCTCCCAGGTCCCAATACGCCCTGATCCCCGCCCTCCAACCCACTCTTTCCTACTTATTCCCGCATTACATTGTCTCCGTGCCAACATCACCGCTTTACGCGCTCCTAACCAGGCAGAACTACTCTTCCATCTATACTTTGTTCCACCATCCCTCCTTTCTCCCTCCCTTTCTCCTCCCTTCAAACTCCTTCCCCCCCCACCTCTCAGGCCTAACTTTTTCCCTCGCCCCCTACTTCAGCTATACGCTTCATCCCTTTTTCGTTCCTTGCAATCCGCGCCACACTGAAACTCCTGGAAACTCTCCCGCCTGGCCTTTCTTGCTGTCCTTTTTTGCCAATAACTCGAACCCGCCTGGCCAGGAAGACTCCGTCTCCCGTGCCGTCGTCACCTCCCATGATTTTGCCTTCTCCTCTCCGCATAGTACCTCCCAGTTTTTCCCACCCCACACACCCTCCCCAGCCTTCTTCGCCCTTCCTCTCCCTCCTCTCCCTCCCACTCAACTCCTGTCTGGCCCACTCTCATCCTACTTCCCTTGGTCTCACTCCTCCCCCCCCTCTACCTTGTCTACCAGGCTTCCTGCCCCTCCTCCAATTGACAGATAGCCAACAATCTGATAGTTGTACTTACGATCGGGACTATGGTTGCGATGGAAGGGAAGATTAATTAGGTAGGACGACAACAATAATGTGGTGGTTTCTTTCTTCATTTTTTGGCTGCTGATGATTTGACCAACAGCAAACAGGTCGATGCCTTTCAAGCGCAAAACGAAAGAGCACTAAACAAGCCCAAGCAGGAAGAGATGTGATGCCGCACCTGGACTGTCTGATCCTCTCTGGAAGGGTCCCACGATTCGTCCAAATCGAAATGCTCGAGTGCCGGCAGAGGGGCCAACTGACTGATGCCGTTGGCCAAGGAAGAGAGGGGTCTGTGCGGGGCCATTCTACAACCCCCTCCAGCCCCGGGACCAAGGGGACCACAATTGTTGTTGTTGTTCAGACCGCCACCAAAGGCCAGTACACGCGCCACCTGCCGCGGCGTCTTCGGCACAACCGCTGCTGCTTCACCAGTAGCAGCTGCATCTTTCCACTGTCCCCGGGTTTTGCCGCCCTTGGAGACACTGCCGATCGTAGTTGGCGGGGCGCTGGCACTACACGTGGCCTGCACAGCCACCACTGCCTCATTAGCAGGCAATCTCTCTCCTCCCACTGCCGCTTCCCCGTCACATGGAGCAACGTTCTCATTTCTGCGAGGAGTTCTCGAGCGGCCACTTCCCGTACCACCCTCAGCTGCACCAGCCACCTGTCCCGACCGGTTCTTCTGCAATGTAGGCTGCTGATGTGGTGATGATGCCTCTCCTCCTGTGACCCCCTGCGCGCCACCCACCGAGTCCGGCGCATTCTCTCCGGGCCGCGTTCGACCAGGAGTCCTGCGCCCTCCTCCATTCACACCGCCGCCGTCCACACCCCCTGCCCCTCCTCCTCCTGATCCCATCGCTAGGAGCTGATCAAACTCAAGCTGCCCCCTTGAGGTCATACGCGACAGAGACCGATGATGATGCAGAGGATGCCGATCGGCGGCCCCTCCACGACCGGTGGCGACATTATTGGTCGTTATCGACGAAGGATCAGCGGCGTTCTCGTTCCCCTCACCGCTCCGCCGGGCCCCGCTACCCATAATTCTGTGTGAGTGAGGCTGCCAGCCAGGAACCTCTGCTCCTGCGCCAAGTGGAGGCGTCCGTGGAGAGCTCCTGTCCTTGTTCCCTCCCCCTCCAGCCAGCACAACAGTATGTCGTTGGCCACCACCGATGTCTGGCGACCCGCCTTCAGCGACGTTCTGCCGTCCCACGTGCTTCGTCGGTCTGGGCGAGACCTTTGCCGCCGAGTGCTTCGCAGCCGTCGTGTCATTACCTCTGCCACTTGGCGTGCACTGAGCGACCGCCGGATCAAAAAGAGTGTTATTAGTCGTAGGAGTGAGGGGTCGACGAGCGCCGCCATCTTTGCCGGTAACCAGAGACGGCTCGGCGTCAGCGGGCGAGGAACTAAGGGGGGACACGTGCTGCTCCAACTCCTGTTGCTGTTGATTATGACTCGTCTTCTTCGACGGAGAGCGCCCGAGAAGCAGCCGAAGTGGCGACAAACCCCTCCCCATCACGTTTGCTGATCTATGCCCTTTCGACAACAACGACGGGAGGAGTCCGAACAAAACGTCAAAATACAAAAAAAACAAAAAACAAACGAAGGGGAGCCGCTAGTTTGCGATCGGTTTTCCAATAGAAAGAGTCCAGCGAGTGATAGAGATCAACGGAAAAAAAAGCTCCTAGTTTGCGATGGATCAACAGAAAGCGTTTCTTCTCCGGCCACTTACGTGCAGCCAGCCATCAACCTCCTCCCACTCCACCAAGGAGCGTCGCAGAGAAACTACACGCACACACACACACGCCCGCGTGCACACACAACACACGCACACGCGCACACACACACACACACACACACACGCACACACGCACACACGCACACACGCACACACAACAAAAAGTGTTTTGAAACACCTTCCCTTTCCCTCCGTGTCCCAGACTGATAATTCGCCTAACGCGGTCTCTGCGGAGGTCCGAGATCCAGAAGGAATGTCGCAGCAGCTTGAAGTGAAAACCGCCAACGCTCCTTGTAAGTCAACGGCACGCCCTGGATTGGCAAAAGCCAGTCAAGCTATCTCGCTCATGAACACAGCGGAAGGAGACAGGAGATGATCTCTCCTCGTGGACAGAGAGAGCAAGGATAGAGCCCCACTTTACACTATAGCTTTTGATGTGACGTCTCGAAGAGTCGGAGGTTCCCTGTGGATGACCGCCATACCTTCGCCTTCTGTCAAGATAACTGCATCACACAAATGGGCAGGAGAGGTAAACAACACACTTTGAAGTCGTTACGGCCTCGACAGATCGACGGAAAAAATGGGCGAATGACACACTTTGTCATCATTACGGGCTCCATAGCTCAAAAAAGGCCATTCGCAGACAACAGAGAGCAGGGGGGGAAGGAAAAAGTGGTCTTCACAATCCTGATCTGGAGGACGCGGATGCTTGTGGGGCCATATATGACCCAGGGAAGGGTATGGGTCACGAGTGCACCGTCTTGAACTGAGCACAACGCACTCTCATCATGAACGCATACAAGCTATCCTTCCGGCCCGATACCGTCATCATGAGGGTACGTTGTGTCCGGGTGAAGACGGTCAATATCGCTGTATCTAGCATGACACTTGCCCCAAATACAGCTATAGTATCTCTGAGGGTGCACCGAATAGAACGTACGGTCAATATCGCTGTATCTAGCATGAAACTTGCCCCAAATACAGATATAGTGACCGAGCGTCCTATTCGGGGGAATACTATAGTCATCAGCATTTGAAACCTACAAGTTTTATCTAAATGGGGAGAAGCCAGCAGCAGCGATGCTGAATCCTACGGCTGCACCCACACCGTAACGAGGAAGACAGCGAGCAGCTGGGCGAAGCATAAGAGTGCTAGGAGTAGGGAAGAAGAACTGGAGGAGCAGAAGAGACAAGGGGAACAAGAGGGACAACGAAGGGCGACGGAAAAGGATAAGAGGGAGAAGAGGGAGAAGAGGAGGAAAACGAAAAAGGAAAATGCAGGCGACATACCTTGCGATGCTGATCGAGGCGGCGCATTGGCACTCTACTGCCTGCTGCTCTCCGCGATGTCCCGATGGCACAGGCCGTCCACTGGAGTTAGGGCATGACCCTCATCTCTCTCTCTCTCTCTCTCTCTCTCTCTCTCTCTCTCTCTCTCTTCCACTGGAGTTAGGGCATGACC